CTGCCCAGTCACATCCCCCCTCCCCCCCCTCCAGCACCGACCCCATTCGATCAAAAACCGATCGTGTTATCTCCGCCCCCCCCCCCCCCACCTTCTCTTCCTCCCATGCAACCTCGTTTCAACCTCTCTCCTCCCCATCCAACCCCACCCCCCTCCTTACCCCCCCCCCCTCCCTGCCTCTCACCCATTCACCCGCTCATCTCCACCATCATCTCCCGCCAACAACGTCATCACTTCAGCATCTCCATCATCTTCATCATCCGCCGTCCGTCGTCATCGCCAGTCCTCCTTTCGCTCTCTCTCTCTCTCTCTCTCTCTCTCTCTCTCTCTCTCTCTCTCTCTCTCTCTCTCTCTCTCTCTCTCACTCCCTCACTGACTCACTCCCTCACTGACTCACTCACTCTCTCTCACTCTCATTCTCTCTTTCTCTCTTTCTCTCTGTCTATCTGTCTGTCTGTCTGTCGGTCTTTCTCCTTTTATCTTTTTCCTCCCTCTTCCCTCTCTCTCCCCCTCTTTCTCTCACTCTGGTCGCCGCCGCTTCACGTACTCTCGCGCGTTGCTAGGCAAGACCCAGCCCGGAATACCTTTTGTCGTTGTCCCTGCCGCTCGGTTCGGTAGAAAGAATAAGGGAGAGAGAGAGAGATAGATAGATAGATAGAGAGAGAGAGAGAGAGAGAGAGAGAGAGAGAGAGAGAGAGAGAGAGAGAGAGAGAGAGAGAGAGAGAGAGAGAGGAGATGGAAAGAGGGACGAGGGGGGGGGTGGGAAGGAAGAAGTGGATAGAATGATGGATGAAATGGAAGGAGGGAAGAGGGAGGGAGAGAAAAATAGAAAGTGAACGAGGGAGAAAGAAAGAGAGAGATTGAGAGACAGTGAAAGAGCGAGAGAGAGAGAGAGAGAGAGAGAGAGAGAGAGAGAGAATCGCCTTTACCTTTTGTGACATACATTAATAAAGGGAAAACCGTCCTCTCTGCGTTCCAAGTCGTGCCTCCTTTTATCTTCTTCCATCTCTCTCTCTTCTTTGCTTAGAGAGAATCCAGGGCGATGGCCACGTGTTTCTGTGCCACGTGCTGCCCCTTCTCTGTCTCTGTCTGTTTGTCTCTCGCTCTCGCTCTCTCTCTCTCTCTCTCTCTCTCTCTCTCTCTCTCTCTCTCTCTCTCTCTCTCTCTCTCTCTCTCTCTCTCTCTCTGTCGTCTCTTCGACACACACACACACACACAATTCCACTTTCTTTGATTGGTATTTCCCTACCTAAATATACCTTTTGGTTGCCTATCACTCTCTCTCTCTTCCTCTCTCTCCTCTCTCGTCTCACTCTCTCTCTCAAGTCTCTGCTCTCCTCTCTCCTCTCTCTCTCTCTACTATCTATCTATCTACCATCTCTCTCTCTCTCTCTCTCTCTCTCTTCTCTCTCCTCTCTCTCTCTCGCTCTCGCTCTCTCTATCTATCTATCTAACCAATCTCTCGCTACCCTCCGCTCTCTCTCTCTCATCCTCTCTCTCTCACTCCCTCATGACTCACTCCCTCATGACTACATCACTTCTCCTCACTTCATTCTCTCTTCTCTCTTCTCTCTGTCTATCTGTCTGTCTGTTCTGTCTGTCGGTCTTTCTCTCCTTTTATCGTTTACTCCCCTTCCTCATCTCTCCAATCTTTCTCTCACTCTGGTCGGCGCCGCATTCACGTACTCTCGCCCCGCGTATGCCTAGGCAAGACCCAGCCCGGAATACCTTTTGTCGTAGGTCCCTGCGCTCGGTTCGGTAGACAGATAAGGTGAGAGAGAGAGGAGAGGACGAGAGGAGAGAGAGGAGAGATAGACGAGAATGAGATGAGAGAGAGGAGAAGAGACAACGAAGAGGAGAGAGAGAGAGAGAGAGAGAGGAGATGGAAAGAGGGACGAGGGGGGGGGGGAAGAAGTAAATAGAATGAGGAATGAAATGGAAGGAGGGAAGAGGGAGGGGAGAGAAAAATAGAATGTGAACGAGGGAGGAAAGAAAGAGAGAGATTGAGAGACACGTGAAAGAGCCGAGAGAGGAGAAAGAGAAAGAGAGAGAGAGATCAGAGGAGAATCGCCTTTACCTTTGTTGGACATTACATTAATAAAGGAAACCGTCCTTCTGCGTCCAAGTCGTGCCTCCGTTTATCTTCTCCATCTCTCTATCTCTTCTTTGCCTTCAGAGAGACTCCAGGGCGATGGCCACGTGTTTCTTGTTGCCACGTGCTGCCCCTCTTGTCTAGGTCTGTTTATCTCTCTCTCTCTCTCTCTCTCTCTCTCTCTATCTCTATCTACCATCTCTCTCTCTCTCGTCTCTCTCTCTCCCTCTCTCTCTCTCTCTCTCTCTCTATCTATCTCTCTACCATCTCTCCATTCCCTCATCTCTCTCTCTTCTCTCTCTCTTCTCTCATCTCTCTCTCTCTCTCTCTCTCTCTCTCTCTCTCTCTCTCTCTCTCTCCCCCTCTCTCTCTCTATCTATCTACCCATCTCTCTCTCTCTCTCTCTCTCTCTCTCTCTCTCTCTCTCTCTCTCTCTCTCTCTCTCATTCTCTCTCTCTCTCTCTCTCTCTCTCTCTCTCTCTCTCTCTCTCTCTCTCTCTCTCTCTCTCTCTCTCTCTCTCTCTCTCTCTCTCTCCCCCCCCCCCCCCTTCTCACACAGGCACCCACGTCCGCCCCAAACCCTTGCACAGACACGTACATCCTCTTCCTCCTCGTTTCCATAGCGTCCCATCCCTCCCTTTCTTGCCCCATTCTTGCCTAACTAACCCATACTTCCCTTTCCTCTTGCAGACCCATACCCCCCCCCTTCCTCTCCCTTATCTCTCCCCCCCTACCCCCCGCTACCCTATCCCACTCCTCCTTCCCTTTCGCGATCTCCCCACACCATAGATTCCTTCGTTTATACGTAAGGTCGTTTTTCCGTAGGTTTAGACGCGTGTTCGTCGTCCTTACGTTCCAATTATGTTTTTTTTTTCTCTCTTTCTCTCTCTCTCTCTTTCGTTCTTTCTCACCTGCTACTGGAGGTTCTTGCCTTCCCTCTCTTTTTTCTTCTCTCTTCTCGTCGTTCTTCTCCTTTCCCTTTCCCCTTCTTTCGTCCCTCAAATTTATTTCACCTCTCCTACTACTTTTCTCCTTCTCCCCCTTTCTTTCATCTCCTTCCTTCTTCCGTCCTCTTCCCTATCCTTCCCCTCGCCTTCCTCCTTTCTCCTTCTGTCTATTTTCTCCTCGTTCCTTCTCCTTCACCTCCCTTTTCTGTCTTTCCCTCACGCCTTCTCCCTTTCTTTCTCCACTTCCTTCACCTCTCCTCCTTCTCCTTTCCCCCCTCACGTTCTTCTTCCACTTCTTCCTTTTTCTTCTTTTCCTCCCTTCCTCCTTCCCCTTCCTCTTCCTTCTCTTTTTCCCCTCTACTTTCTCCACCCCCCTCCTCTTCTCTGTCCACCTCCCTACCTACCCCTCAACATCCCGATAAAAAAAAGAGAGAAAGAAAGAAAAAGATAAAAGAAAGAGAAAAAACAACAACATGAAGAGACAAAAAGAGACAAACAATTAAACACTTCTCGAAACTTAACGAAGAAAAAAAATAGAAAAAACAAAACAAAACAAGAAGGCGTAGGAAGAGACGCACAAAAAAAAAGAGAAAAAAAAAAAAAAAAAGAAAAGAAAAGAAAAAAGAAAAAAAAAGGAAAAAGAAAAAGAACAAAAATATATAAATAATAATAATAATAATCAAATCCTAAACACGAAGAGGCCATCACAAAGCATAAGCGAAAACCGATACAGGCCCAAGATCTCGGCTTCATGTTGTATTAAACAGTCACTTTCCCAGGCATTGTACTGTGCCCTGCCCCCCCCCCCCACCCCCCTCTTTCCCTTGGCCCTTGCCTCTCGTTCCTCCCTCACCTCCCTCCTTTACCTCTTCCCCTTCTTCTCTTTCCTTTTTCTTTCGATTTCTTCTCCTCCTCTTTCGCTCCCCCCCCATCCCCCTCCTTCTTCCCTCCTTTATCCTTCCCCCCTCCCCTCCCCCCCTGTACCCTAAGCCCAAGCATCGCCATCCCAGGATGATTAGGAGGAGGGGGGGGACGAGGGGGAGAGCAAGAGAGGAAGGAGGAGGGGGGAGGGGGGAGGGGGGAGGGGAGAGGAGGAAGAGCCTTTTCTCCCTCCTTCCCCTTCCTTGTCCCTTTAAAGGGGGGCAAGGAGGGGGGAGGAGGGAGAAAAGGGAGAGGAAAGAAATAGGGAATGGGAGAGAGAGAGAGAGAGAGAGAGAGAGAGAGAGAGAGAGAGAGAGAGAGAGAGAGAGAGAGAGAGAGAGAGAGAGAGAGAGAGAGAGAGAGAGAGAGAGAAAGAGAGAGAGAAGCAGATACCGTGCCCCTCAAAATAATTATAAACAAACAAACATCAAAAAACAAAACTAAACACAAAAAATACATGCAACGAACAAGACCACGAACACGACCACAAACCCTCCCACCCCCCACTCCTCACCACCCTCTCCCCCCCACCCCACATCCCCACCCCCTTTTTCCCCCCTTTCCCTTACCCCCCCCCCACCCCTCACCCTCCCCAAGTGACCCCCCCCCCCCCGCCAGACCCAACCACGCATGCCGAGTCCGTCAAACACAAAATCACAGATCGAGGTGTAAGGATTTCTAGAAAGGAGAGGGGGGAGGGGGGAGGGGGAGAGGGGGAAATTCATTTCCAATCACAGAAACCCCCCCCCTTCCCCCCATTCCTCCCTCCCCCCTTCCTCATTCAATTCGCGAAGTGTTATTATAAACGTAGGTGTGAGACGGGGGGGGGGGAAGAAGATGGGGGGGCGGGGTAGAGAGAGGGGGGGGAAGAACATGGGGGGGGAGAAGGGGAAGAGGGGGTAGAGAGGGAAATAGGAAGCTGTTCTTTTATGTAAAAAAAAAAAAAAAAAAAAAAAAAAAAAAAAAAAAAAAAAAAAAAAAAAAAAAATTGTAAGCGGAAATGACATGTTAAAGAAATGACAAATGAGGTGTAAAATATCTTAGTCATGTTTATATAGACGTGAGAGAATGACACAGGTAATCGTAGAGATG